CCCTCCATCTGAGTCATTACAACTGACAAGCTCTCTCGTCCTTTCGTTTGCACGAGCGGAGGTCGTCGACGGGAGAGAAGAAATAGTGGTATTCTTGAGGAGACTCGACGGAGAGAGAGAGAGAAGAAGAGAGTAGTTGAGGAAGAGAGAGAAAAGTATCGGTTTTAAGAAAGAATAAGTTTTTTTTAAATTTGTTTGGGTTTAAAAAATAAAATTTAATTTTAAGTGGATAAAAGTTTTTTTTAAAGGTTAAAAAATATAAAACATAAGATTTTTATATTCAAGATATATTTAGCATTTTTTCGTCTATTGAGATATGAAAATAAAGAATAAGAAGTATTTCTAAAAGTTAAAAGATATAAAATGTAAGATTTTTATATTCAAGATATATTTAACATATTTGAGTCTATTAAGATATGAAAATACAAATAAAAAATAAAAAGTACAAAGATATTTTCTCTAAAATAATCAAGCAGCAGGTTTCCATGTAAAATTGTGGTGGAATGAGGTTTTAGTTTGCCCAAACACACTTCTTTTGATAATATAATTTTTCTTATTATTTAGCAAATAGATTAGCCAAAAGATTTCCTACTCCCATGAGAGTAGACTATCCTCTACTCCCTTGGGCAAAACTTACTCTTAGGTGTATCTTTTTTATCTTAAATTTTGAGAATGTGATCTCTAGAGTCTGTCAAATAATCTCAAAGTGAAAAAAAAAATTAATTCTCTCCATGTGCATGTGCAGAAGAAAAATATCATTTTGTGCTGTAACCATCCCAATTTTTAAAGAAAATGATTTAGATGTTTATGAACTCAAAATCGACATTTTTTTTTTTCTTCTTTGAAAATAATCATCTAGTTATAATTAGATGGATCTTAAAACTTCAAATAATAAAAATAAGAAAAAATCCAAAGATGGTGTTTTGCCGGTGGGAGTAAATGTATAATATGCTCCCAAAGGATCCTAATATACACGCTCAATAGTTTAAGTCATATTTCTGAACTTGCACCATCGCAATACCATCGATGCTAGCGAACTTATCATCTCCCATTATTTGGTAATATGAAACTGCAGTTAAAATAGTATTTTTAAATTTTTTTTTTTTGGGGCTGTTCATTTTATTTCTTAACGGATAATCAACACCATTTTCGGAGCTGCTAATCAATGGATCTACGACAAATTGTATTCCTAGTGATTTAAGATGTGTTTTACATCATAATCTATATATAAACCCTAGGGGAGCTATGAATCCAGAGGCTTATGGTACGCTTTTCCTTAAATTATAGTCGGTTTCCAAATAATTCATTTTAAGTAATTTAAGATGAGGAAAACATAGAATAAGACCGTCTATATTTTGACCAAGGAGGTCACAATTATCCGTAACTGTTAGATTAAATTTGGATGGTCGGGGATGTTTTCGATCCCCCGGTGTTTTCATTATCATACTGATTATAAGAATAAGAGGGATCTCAAATAGGCTTCCTTTTCCACCACACAAGATAACGGGCCCATATTAGCCATGGCAGTGACTGTTAAGATTAAATGCCTTGGAAATTCTTATGAATAGGATTCTCTTTCTTTTGTAACTCTCTCTCTTTGACAAGTTATGTAGGAATTGAATTTGAGATGTTGTGTTTTGAAAATCCATGACTGTTGAGATTAAATGCCTTGTAAATTCTTATGAATAGGATTCTCTCTTTTTTTTTGACACTCTCTTTTGACAAGTTATGTAGGAATGGAATTTGAGATATGGTGCTTTGAAAATCCATGCTACCACCTATATCGAAGCCCAATTTCTCTCTCTCTCATTGACAATATTATATAGGAATGGAATTTGAGATGTAGTGCTATGAAAATCCATACTACCGCCTTGACCCAAGCTTGATTCCTCTCTCTCGGACAAGGTCAAATAGAAATAGAGCTTGAGACGAAATGCTATGAAAATCCAGCTGCTAGCCTTTTAACCCAAGCCCGATTCGTTCCTTTCTCTTTCTCTCTCTTCCCTAATCGCCTTGTTTACCTTGTTACCTTCTTTTAGGCTGCCTTCTATATTTAGGTTAAACAATACTGTATATAGCGGTACCATACCATTTCGATTCCATTCAATTCAAAACGACATATCTCCTAGCACTTTCTCCAGTACGTTTATGATCCTAGTTTATTGTACACATTAAACACAAACGTCATTAACTACCTTAACGACTCTTGACTATATTTGAAGGGTGTAATAAGCTGCGAGGGAAAAACCTTGATTTTCTTCATGATTTTTTAATTCAATTCTCAATAAAAATTAATTTTTTTGTATTATTTTTTTTCTGAAATTTGATCCCGTTAGTGTTGGTTTAATTTTGACTGGATGAAATCCTTCACCGGTTTGATAACAATCTGATTTTAATAATAATAAAAACAGTCCGGCTGCTTGGTTTTGCATTTGACGAGTTAAAACATGGGAAATCCAAATCCTCCTCACCTTCGAGACTTGAGTCGACAAAAACCAATTTATGGAATTTGGACTTTCTTTATGCCAATGAATTTATTTACAATTCGACCCAAAACACAAGGCCCATCACCAGATTACATATCACTCTCAAGTACAAATATTATGTGAAGTTTTAAATTCTTCTTATTTATAAAAATAATAAAAAAATTTATCCAACTTTGTTTAATAGATCTACCGGATCAAATCCAAGTTTGGATCTGGATCAACTTGGACCTCAAGTTGTGGTATGTTGAAATTAAACCGATAATTTTTTTAAAAAATGTATTATTATATTTCATAATATAAATGGTGCGGTTTGTATAGAGCCGAGGCTCTAAACAATTAAAGTAAAGCATATCTTCAAATAGTGTCAAGAGATGTGGTTTCAATATTGGAGATCTTTGTGATAGCCTTAAAATATATATTCATCTGTAATTATAAAATTTGAAGCTTAAAAATAATGTAGATCGAGCAGATATACGAAAACTTGAAAGTTGATGGCTTAAAAATGCGTTACAAGATGCACTATTTCAAAAACTTGAAATGCATTTTTTTTCTCATGTCCATGCATCTTGATGCCAAAATGATCAATTTGAGGATATTTGGACCTCGAAACAACCTCTTCTAATGAAATTTTTGAGGTGGGATCTAATTTGATACTTTGATTGTTTACAGCCTCTCTATACAAACCTTTTCCTAATATAAAATGTAAACTTTTAATAGTAATAACGGGTTAAGTCAGCTTGACCCAACTTGATTAGGTTGTGGCTGAATCCAGGCCCAATCCGACAGAATTCTCCAATCAATACTTCTGGACTTTGACGTAACCCGCTATGTCTAAAAGGGAACCCTGACTAAAGTCAGTTTGACCCATCAGGGGTGGGCCTACAAAAAGGACAATCTCTTCTCCTCCCCTTCCCTTCTCTATCTGAGCTGTCCCTCTCCATAAAATCTCTTATCTACTTTCATCTTGCTCTAGCCATTTCATTCTCTCTATTTTCTTTAGAGGTTCATCGCATTTAATTATTTTTTTAACTATAAATGTATTTTTCATAATGCATCTAAATGCTAACCAAATAACAAAAATACATTTTACATAAAATAAACAAAAAAATTTATATAAGGTTGCAACCTTAAAATGTAGAATTAAAAGTGCACATCAAAAATATATCATAAAAGGTCGTTTGGACATTGGAAAACCCTCTAATTGATCATCTCAAAATCGAGATACATGAATATGAAAAGAAATAAAGATTTCAAGTATGTGAAATAGTGCATCTTACAATGTATTATCTGACCTATCTATTTTCAAGATTTTCATGTGTTTATAGATCTACTTGATTTGAACTATTTTTAGAGTTTAAAATTTTATAATTAGAGATGAAAATAGATTCTCAACCCATCTTTAAAAATTTTTATATCAAAATTAGATTTATGATAAAACTTAGAGGTATGTCTTAATTGGATTGTTTAAGGAAAACATTTACATAAGGTTGTAACTTTAAAATATAAAATTAAAGATGCACTTCAAAAATCTATCATAAAAGAGGTTGTTTGGATGTTGAAAAACCCTCTAATTAATGTCGAGATGCATGAATATATTATAAGAAATATATTTTACGATAAATAACTTTTTTCATACAATTTTTTCCCAGAGATTCAAATGGGCCCCTGGTTTTGGTCATGGGGGGCATGAAATCTTCCCATTAAATCTGGTAAGGATAGTTTCGAATTTTCCAAAATGAAAGGGTGCATTTTCTTACTGCTACTTTAAACTAAAGCATTCAATCATCACCGTGTATCCCGCGTGCGTCCGCGTTCTACTCTTCGAACAACGCTGCGCAATTCCTGCAACATGCATACGACTTCTCTCATTCTTTCTCTCTCTAGTTTCTCACTTTCTCTCTCTTCTTTCCCGCTTTATGTAAAGCACTCTTTTGCAGCTTTCCGTTTTTGTACTTTGAATTCTTGATCCCAATTGTCGGCAATCAGTTATGCAGGACCTTGGAGCTTCCTATGTCAGGTGATTAAATTTCACATATATTCTGGTTTTCTTTCTTTCTGTTTTTTTTTTGGAATTTGATATCAGGACGGTTGAATTCGGTGGCTTCTCTTTTGGGTCTTCTTTATTTGTTTCTCTTGGTGTGAAAAAGGTAATTTTTGATGCCTGATTGATTTGGGGTCTGGGTGTTTTCTCTTCTTGCTCTGAATTCAGAGAGAGCTGTTTCTCTGTGATGAATTATGGGTTTTCTCTGGCCTGAAATGGGTTTTGGTCAAAGAGTTTCATGGTGGATATTGAAAAATTTTAGTGGGTGATTCAGGATCCAGTCTATATAAGCTTTCAATCTGTTCATGGCTTCGATCCGAAGAACTCTCTCTCCTGCTCGCTATGATCGACCCAACCTGAATTCAGATTCCTTTTATACTACTTCCCCATCTTATAAGTATTCACATTTATCGACTAGTTCGTATGATGGAGGAAAACTAATCAGGGCCTTGAATGCCTTGCCATTTTTCCCTGCATTTTGTGGCACTCATGACTTGCTTGTTGGTATCTGTCCACAAAGATATTTGAGGCATCTCGATCGGTCCAGGACAAGAGGACCCTTTTCAAAGAGAGCTCTGTTTCAGTTTTTTATATGCTTTATGTTAGGTCTTTTAGCTGGTCTGAACCCTTTTTACAAAGTGGAGTTATCTGATAATCTATCTTCAAATCACCAAGACTTATTGTTTGAGCTCAAGTCACCACCTGTTAATGCCCAGCAAGATTTAAGTCAAATTGCTAAGAGGGGAAGGATTATTGAAACTGTAGAACCAGAAGGAATTGTGAGCCTAGAGGTTGGGCCTAAACACCAAAAGGAAGACAAAAAGACATCATTTCTTGATTCTACCGTGGATGTGATCTATGGGCCTTCTCTAATTAAGGAGTTTCTTTTTGTTCCTCGAAAGCTTCTGATAATTGTGACCCCAACTTATAATCGAGCTTTTCAGGCTTACCATCTCAATCGTTTGGCTCACACTCTGAAACTAGTCCCCCCACCATTGTTATGGATAGTTGTGGAGATGCCTTCTCTATCAATGGAGACTGCTGAAATATTGAGAAAGACTGGTGTAATGTATAGACACATTACATGCAACAAGAATTCGACACTTTCAAAAGATAGAGGGGTTCATCAGCGCAACACTGCCCTTGAACATATCGAACGTCACAATCTAGATGGGATCGTTTACTTTGCAGATGACGATAATGTATATTCTCTTGAACTGTTCAAAAGGATGAGAGAAATCAGGTATGCTTTTTGATTTGGTCTCCTTTGGGTTTTTATATATGATTTGTTATTGCTTTTTATTCATCGTTTGTTCTGAGTATTTTCATAGTAGAAGTGAGATTTAACCTCGTGGTTGCTGTGGGATACATGGTGAGAGGTTTGGAACTTTTGCTTCCTCCCACATTCATGAAAGTTTCTTTGTTATTCCCTTTTCACTAATAAGGAAATCCGTGACCTTATTATTTTTCTTGTTTTTTTTCTTTGTGAGTTTGTCAATTTAATAGTTAACTTCAGGGAATTATAAAATTTTCGTGCTATGGAATTTGAATATATGTCTCAAAGGTCTTACTGTTCTAGTGTCCAGCTACTGGATTGAACACTACTACTACTAAATTCTAATTTGTAGATCTATCTTATTTGGTTTTATTGTTCTAATAAGGGTGAGGACTTTAAACTTCCCGTTAACCCATCCCAATGCCGGGTAAAGGAGGTAGATTGTGTTAAGTAGGTAGCCGGTGTAAAACTTTACCACATCTTATCGTGATTCCTAAACCTAAGTTAGATGATAATCTCTTTTGGTTTTATGGTCAAACATCATGTGCCTTGCATTGTTCAAGACATGTTAGTTGTTGTGTTACATGGTACAAGATATCCTATAACTACTAGATACTTGGAAGGTAAGTAACTGATCCATCTACTTCAGTATATACACATTCACATGTATGGGTACATTCAGTATATACACATTCATATGTATGGGTACATTAAGGTTCTTCTTGATAGATTTCATAGAATTAGACGCGTTTGATATCTTGGTAGTATCGTAGAGAGAGGAACACAGAGAAAGGAATGGAACTTTTCATGAATTCCCATTATTAAGATGAAACCCAAATAGGGTGTATATACAATGTATAATTTTGGTTTAGACCAAACTATTCCTAATTTCCTGCACTAATACATAATGACAAAATACAGCAAATATGCATGTACATATTGTTATACAATTAAACTCATTAGTCATTACCTCCACCTCAAGCTGAAACGTGCATGAGTGGAGTATCAACTTGTCCACAAGAAAATCATGACGCTTCCGAGTCATTGATTAAGTGACAATATTCACTGTTTCCATATAGCAGAAGAAACATAAGGAAAAGAGAACTTACCATTAAAATAGCGATCACGATTAGTGGCAATCTCGATTGCCCTTTGATTATCTGCACGTAAGGGTGTAGGATGGCAAATGGAGACATTAAAGTCATTAAGAAGAGCACGATTCCTAACAATATCGCTGGTAACGGATAACATAGAACAATGCTCAGCCTTGGTACTTGACTCCGATAATTTTCTTATTTCTTGATCTTCTCTATGATTAAATATTAGCCAAGGAATATACAATAGCTTGTAGTAGAGCAGCAAGTATCTAGATGACCTCCCCAACGCTATCTTCATTATGATGGAGTGAAAAGAACAATCCATGATTGGATGTTCCTTGAACATAAGCGCAGAATTTAGTGAGAACAACTGAGAGATGGGGTCGTCGAGGATATGAAACAAATTGGCTCACCACAATGACAACATATGCAATGTCTGGATGTGTCATCGTGAGATAGATGAGGGAGTCTACAAGTGCGCTATATATTGTGGGCTGGGAAGAGGATCTCCAACATGAATGAAAAGTTCGACATCATGATCTATGGGTCGATCAAACAACCTTGGCATCAGTTAAGTGAGCGAATCAATATCAAGTGTGTATTTCTGTTGATTGATATGAATACAATGCTTAGAGCGAGTGATCTCGAGGCCATGAAAATAGGAAGTCCAAAGGTCCGGCATTTGAAATTGTTTGTATAGTCGTAGCTTCACATCGTTGATGGAGGTGAAATCATCTCTAAAGATGAGAATATCATCAACAAATAGTGAAAGAATGCAAATGCCATGACTTGTGTTATGAACTAACATGAAGTGATCGTATATGCTTTAAATGAAGCTAGTTGTAAGAATTGCAGTCCGAAAGTGCTTGAACCATGCACATGGAGTTTGTTTAAGACTTACAAAGTCGATAGACTAAGGACAAGCAATGTTTGTTTTAGAGTAAATTTTCCTTGGGTAATCACACATGGCTTTGGCACTAGGCTAATATGTAAAGTTTTACCCAATTTTGGGTTCAACCAAATTCATGATCCATGTCATAAGGCAACTATCTATTTTTGTTAGTAGGCTGGGAGTATACCCGTTAACATAGCCCCATAACTTTCTTCTCATGAGAAAGTGCATCATCTGGAAAAACCACAACCCATAGTCACTGGGATCAGGAATGAGCTCAGATCCATAATGGGATGGGGACCGTGGGATTAAGAGATGCACAAAGATTTGTGGGATATGGATTGAGATCCATGCACTGTGAGTTGCAGGAATTGTGATGCCAATATGAAGGGACCATGATCCACTATGAGTTAAAGGGATCATCATCCCAATATGGAGGGAGCGTGATCGAAATTTGTGCAGGATTGAATGATAAATCATATGGGATCGAGGTTCATCTGTCTTAGAAGCGGCGCTCCCAAAGAGCACTTATCTAAGGTACTCTAGCTTGGGAACGAAGTCCATTGAGCGATATGATTAATGTTTTTTCTGAATTCAAAAACTACAATATCATTAAATACAAAGAATGCCCTTTTTAAAAATATTTTTTAATTATTTGTTATCATAAGATTGTGTTTGATAAGTGTGAAGTGAAACTGAAAACTTAAAATTGTTGGAGTTTTGTGGCCTTTAAAGGCCGTGAGAGCATGTAAAATGATATTTATAGTGGTCTATGCAATTCAGTGGAAGTGTGTGTTTTGACTGACCAAGGATTAAGTAGTTTATGATATTGATTACGTCCAAAACTCTTACCCCTTGGCATGTGACACTACCTAAAAGAGTTCACAATGAGTCATCCCTTGTTGGAGTTGGAGAGATGCACATGGATGATGTTTGTAGGCTAGAAAACTTTGTGATTTCCTATGTACAGTTGTAGACTAATGAGAGCAAGGGTCAAAGCCTCAATAAATTTCCGCACGACATGTACACATGACATCCACATTACTGAGAAGCAACCCTATAGAGGGACACATGTACATGTGTATAGAGAGAGCCCCCTTTGCACTATAGTGACAAATGCTAGACTTGCTCTTAAAAGGAGGGGGGACTGAAGTCCACAATCTGGGATCACGGATCCACTCTTTATGGGGCTAACTTTGATAAGTCAATCATGAGCCCCTGCATAAGATTGTGGGGTTAAGGGTCGTTGTTGGGCTGGTTCGAGAACAGTTGTGGACCGTGATTACTGGGTCGAGTAGAGTGCCCTTATAGTCACATATTTTGACCTATTGGTACCAGTCCACTTCTACAAATTATATTTTTGTATAAGAATTATTTCTAGGAAATTTTGGAATTTTTTAGAATTGTTTTAAATATATTTCTGCTGTAAAATCCTTAAGGCATTTTCAAAATTTTCAGAATAAGGAAGGGCTCATGTGGGGCCCTTGGATCCAGCCCCACATGTGCCACCCTCACATGGGTGGGATGTGTGGCCTATGGGCCCACATGAGGCCCATAGGCGTGGCATGCCCCACTCCTTTTTTGTTTTAATTAAAAATATTTTAAGTTAGGCAATCTTTTTAAAATTAAAAAGGTTTTGTCTCCTATTCTTTGTGGGAGTATATTTTGACGAAATAAAAGTTTTGACTTCCTACAAATTTTAGAAAGATAGTAGGAAGTTATAGAGGGATTAAGCATACCTAGAAAAGGAAATCTAATCCAAATAGGATAGGGAATTTTTTCTATTTAACCACCATTGGTTTTCTATCTCTACTCATATATTTTTCTCTCCTCCAAGCCCCTAATCTCTCTCTTGTCATTAAAAATTCATTTTTCTCTCTCCTCCTTTCCATAAAGGGTCACGCCACCCAAAATTTGATAAGACAAGGGTGGCACATTGAAATCCTAATTATTTTTTGGCTGTTCGGAGAAGAAAAAGTGGTACACCCAGCCATAGGAAGATTTTATGCCTTCAAGTCCACCCTAATTTGTTCCTAAGGGTCCTACAAACCTTAGCTAGGTTTCCATGCTCTCTAAAACCCTCGATGAAGAGGTATTGCCTATGAAAACTTCACATATCTGAAGTTCCAGCAAGATCAAAAGGATAAAGGTGTGCCATCAGACAGGGAATCGAGTGTGGGGTCTATTAAGTCCTATGGGGGTAACTTTAGGCATGGTCAAGTAAGCCTTTCTAACTGTTTTTATTTATTTTCAATAATATTTGCGTACTTTTTGTGATTTTTCAGGAATATATATTGTACTTAAATTCATAGTGGAAAGCTGGATATTGTTCCTAGGTTGTGTTTATTTGGTAGTAAAAGGAAGGGTCCTAGGTTGTATTTAGGATTTTCTTTTTTGATTTACAGCATTGTATTGTGGCCCATATAAGTGAAATTTCTAGTATGTTAATAAAAGTGAAGAGGAAATTTTTGAATTTATTACCTTGAATTCCACATAGCCATACCTTTCAAAAAATGAAGATTCAAATTTTAGTTTGTAGGCATGAAAAAGGCTCTAGTGTTTGATGAAAATGCAGTGTCCTTGTTTTCTTTTTTTTGGGTCATTTGGGTTACATGTGATTGGGCATGCAACTTGCGAAACTCTATCTAGTTCCCGAGCTAAAAAAAAACTGCCCTGAGGCAAAGAAAGAGTAAACGTATAAAGGTTTTTTAATGGGGGATGTGATCAACAAGAGGGCATTAGAGACAAATGTCCATTCTATAAAGCTTATAGAGCATCTAGTCGGTGAAATGAAAAGGATTCAGGGTAGGACATAGTAAGCTTTAGCTTTGCAGCTGCTCTCCTTCATCTATGGGCTCCATAATGTAATATGGCAGCAGCTTGTATGTTATGGTGCTTATTTTTGTGATTTACAAGTTCAAAGCTCTACCTTCAAGCTTCAAGCCCGGGTTGCCAAAATGTGATTGGGATTGCTTTTC